AACACACACACACACACACACACACACACACACACACACACACACACACACGTACACACATGCTCACTTATGCTCACTCCAGTAGACAAACACGCGCACACACACACACACACATACACACACACACAATCACACGGTTCTCTTCACACCGTCTATACACACACCCTTTTATGACTGGGTTATTGAATTCTGTGTACCTACTTCGTGAAAAGAGTCATAGGGCCTAAAGGGGGTAGATGAGAACCTAATGAATTCTGGGTAGAGCGGACTCTAGTAAGTTGGAATATTGACTCGACCTGTATTCCGGCAAACGTCTGGTGTTTTGCTTATGGTGTTAAAATAATCCTCAGTATATTTTTCATCTTTCAAAAGACTAACTGTAACACGATCTGTTGGTTTGAATAGTTTTTTATTTTTATTTTGAAGAAGTGAATGGAGGGAGTGAACTGAACGGGAAAAGGGTCAGGACAGAGAATCAAAGGTAATAAAATATAGCAGTGTCGAGTATAACTTAAGGATCTGAGGCTGTATCAGTTATAATGAGTTAGCTGCCTTGCGCTCCACGCTTAGTTCAAGAGCACTGGACACTGGAAAGCGCTTCGGGAGGTCAGTTCACGTTGTACCCACTGTCAGCTTCCATATATTACTGATGTTACGGGCCCTGTTCTGCTGAAGTATAAAGAGGATAGGACACAGAACAATTAGTTTGCATCCCGTGCGTTTGGTTTTATTTATTTATTTATTTATTTATTTATTTATTTATTTATTTATTTATTTATTTATGTACAGGAACACGATACCTTCCTGTGCGACTTGAAATTGTTGGGAAAGTGCTGGCGCCCTTCGGATATTAAGGGATTGTTTTTCTACCTGATCAATTTGCGTTTTTATCTTATGTTAAGTAGTTGCCACCATTGTTATGATGGTGTGTTTCCCGTTAAGTCCTGAATAAACGTTTACGACATTATGTGTAGCATTGGCTTGCGGGCCGATACATGATAATTTTTCGTGAAACTTTAAAAAGTGACTACCGAGAACAGAAGTTCTATAGCAGAAAATCTCTCTCTCTCTCTCTCTCTCTCTCTCTCTCTCTCTCTCTCTCTCTCTCT